AAAAACTCTTATTTTCATTCACTAACTAGTTTCTCCTTATCAACGACGAACAACGCGCGTGACAAAATTTATTTTCATTTTCAGAATTTTACAGAATAAAGGGCTCGAAGTATAATTTTATACGTGACCGTAAACCCCCGCAATCGCCTTACCTTAATCAAAAACGTACCGAGAAATAAACGGGTTTGCCAAGAAATAAGGGTATATTTCAAATTTCACCTCCACCACTGCGAATTTCGTAAAAATCCTCCCCCATGATTCAAACCCCGCCCGCTATTAATTTCTCGAAGCAGATGAAACGCTCGCGTTATTAACCAGCCGGTAGTTGTGTCCTCCGAACGATATTAAGAGGACACGGGGGACGTTATTCCGTTCACGTAGAATTAAACAGTTGTTCATTAGCGGAGACCGAATTTCGGCCGGAAACAGATTAGAAGCGTGCTCGGTCGCGCCTCGAAAGTAATTGCCTCCACGACAATTTTCGTGGAGAAGGTATGGCTATCACCTGATCGGGTTACCTGGCTAGACCTGACCTCCTGACCTCTGGCTGGGATAATGAAATCTGGAGGAAAACTGGTTGCAACGATGGCTTTAATTCCATCCAGGTAGAGGAGACCAGTTCCAATTTGTTCGTCTCTTTGAACGTCTCTCGTGCGATGGAACGTTTTTAAACGGTGGTTCGAAGAAGTTTATTTCGAGGAAAGATATGGACGATTGATCTACTTTTGTTCGTATCGTAAATTATGAGATATTTTTCTTTGCGTGGTTTGAGATGGTTTGGAAAAGGTTTGCTGTGAAATATGCAGATCGTAGAATGTTTGTAATATGTCATATTTTTATCATATTGTGCGTTTAAAATGATTAACTATTTTTGTGATAAGAAAGATTATATTATCATTAAGTGTATTTAAAAAGAGGAAAAAAAGGATAATATGATTGAAAATAAGTTTTCGTTGTATATCTGTTATAATAAATTTGAAGATTGTAAAACTCCATGTTCATATAACATTCTACAATTTTAACATGGTCGATGATGTTCGTGCTCGCGTAATTTTGAAATTTGATATTGGATAAAGCTTAGCCCGAAACGTATCGTAAATGCTAGCAGTTTATTAGGCAAGAAGGATTTTCTTACCGAAGGGGATAAAGGCTGAGTTACTGTAAATAAGGAAACAACCCAGATTGCCTACATTGTGTCCCACCCAGCAAGAAACACGTAGCTAATAAAATCGTGAATGTATCGTCGAAACTTTTCTGATCCTTTTTTTTTATGTTACGATAGAAAACGCGTTGTGTTCTATCGATCCAGTGTTCCTCCCTGGCGAGATATTTTTCCACGATAACGAAGAAATGCTGGAACAAGAAGAAAAAAACGCACACACACTTTATTATACCAATTTGCATAAATTCTTTCCAACCAAGAACCCAAATCGCTAAATTACAACCCGATCAACAATTCAATTCTTCGATCTTTAACCGGATTCATAATTCAGGTCATTCCAATTGAACATCTCACCACGATTATTAACAATAACGATTAAGCTTCAATTGGGAATAAATTTCGTTGAAATTCGCACAAAGGGATGAACGTTTCTCGAGATACCATTCTTTCATTTACGATCATCCTTTCCCCACTATTTCTAAAACTTCAAACCCATGCATAAATAACCCCTATAATTGTACGTACATATCATAGAGCGAATCTCCTTCTCCTATTGCCGCAACAACAACAACAATCCAGAACGATCCATCCGATGTGAATGGCCGACGTGTGTTTGGTCCCCCTTCAGAGAATGATCTCTCCCTCCCTCCTTCGAGCACGGATATCAATTTTATGCGAGACGATATCGCTTCCATCCACCGCCATCTTGTTTACGGCTGTATTAATTATTCGTATCGCGTATACACGGCCGTGCCATTCCCCGGACCGTTTCTATTCCCGCCACCGGTTGCAGTTGCATGCAGTTGTAATGCATCCGTGGGTCGGTCCGCATCCACGGCTGGCCGATATAACCTTCGTGCTATACGCGCAAACGATTTAAAGGAGGGGGGGGCGCGTTCCATTTGCGTGCCGTTTACAACTCGCTGGCCCGTTTCAGAGCTTACCCCCTGCACACCCTCCTCTCTACCCTTTGCTGTATTAAGTCCGCGTCAGAGCAACGGGCAGAGCAGAGCAGAGCAGAGCGTGGGTAGCTCCGGCGCGCGCTACCAATTCAATGGCCGATTGATTCGCAAGTAGCGGTCCTCTGATCTCGGTCCTCTGATACAAGGGCAACTGATACATTGGGGGAAAATTGTGTGTTTGCGAGGGCGGAAATTGGTGTTATCGATAGGAAGTAAATGGATATCGAGGGATTGGAATTTCTTAGCGTTCGTTCGTTTAGAGCAGTTTTTGAGAAGAAACTTCTTTTGAGAAATTTCGTTCCGATTCGCGCGCGATAATGATTCGAAATCTTGCGAATCGATATGCGTGTGTAAGTGGATATGAGAGATTGGGGAGGAAATTCGTTTGTGAGTTTGAATAGTTAAAAGAAAATAGTGTTAGGTAAATTTATGGTAATGAATATTGAAAGAGATTGGATAGAAATCGTTTGTAACGAGCTTCTTCATATTATCTGAAAATAGACGATCGATTATAATGCTTGCTTTCTAATGCTGCAATCGATCGATCGAAGTTATAATCGGATATTTATTTCGAAATGATAACGGTTTTTCGAATCTTCAAGTATTTCTAAAAATAAGAGAAATATTTAAAAGTCAGGAGATCGATGGAATAATTGCGATAAATTTGAGACGATAAAAATTTGATTTTTCCTTCAAGTTTTAGGGTAGATCTTTTTCAACGTAATTTCGTAATCGTTAGAATCTATTTCCAAACGGAAATCGTCGTTATTAGATCGCCATGACCCTGAGTTCATCGGCTTTCACGACCCGAGTGGCTCGATATCGGATCCCGTGACCTCGTGTCGTGGACTTCGTGTCCGATGAACCTGCAGTTATCGATATCCAGTTTCACTTCCTCGGTATCTTAAATATTCATTTATTAAACTCGTGTTTAATCTTCAACCATTTGATATTCTTCATATTAAAATTTTTATACAAATCTTTTCATTTACCAAGGTCAACCTTCGTTCATTAATTAATACAATTATATATCGTTCATTAATTAAAACCATAAAATTCAAATTAATATTATAATTTATCCTTTAAATAAGAATTCTTCTTTAAAGAACGTTTCTTGGTTTCTTCAAAATTCGTCGTGTTCAAACGAAATTTATCCTCGATTTAATTCTCATCGAAAATCATCTCCTGTATTCCTGTTCTTTTCTCTGCAAAATCCTATTCGATATCGTGTTTCAAAATTATCCAGCGAAGAAACAGCGACACGCAGTCAGCAATGTTTCAGCATTTCCGTGATTATCTTCCACATCTTTCCCCGGTGAACCAGTAGTTTTGCGATCGCAGCTTTGTCGTCGATGATCGGACACCAAGGATGAAACGAGGCAAAAATGGTGCCGAGTTTTCCTTCGACGACGACGAACACGACGAAAGATGTACGGATTTCATGGAAACGGCACGAATCCATTTAATATATCAGCCAAGATGCCGGCAATGCTCGATTCGATCCTTGTGAAAAATCTTGGCGAAAATCGGCTTTCACAGACAGACACCGTATCATCCTGTATATAACTTATATATATTTATATCGTTATTGATACGCGGAAAAGTGGTTTGAAGGAGAGCGAATTTTTTTCCCGAAAGTGGCGTCGATCTTTGAAATATTCATCGAGCGGGAGAAACAAATGGGAAATCGAGCCGCGCGGGAAGAATTTCGTGTTTAACATTACGAGATCAAAATATTATAGATGAGAATGTTGTGTAACAAATATTAATACGAATCTCGAACGATCGAAATCTTATGGAAATTTTTTAAGAAATAAATAGAATAATTAATATATATATATTTCTTCAATTGCAGAGGCTCAAAGACAAAGAAAAACAAAATAAAGTAAAAGTATATATTCCACTCTGAATCAATTTGTGTCTGCGCTTTTTCTGTCAAAAATTTATCGTCGCGAGAAATAACACGGGATATACAAGACTTCTCTGGTCGTAAAGTTTTTCCAAGATCAATACTGGCTAACCGAGCTCCGCTTTTTATCCGCTTCTGTTAATACATAAAACGAAGCTTTACGTGGAAAGTATCTAATTCCAGTTTCTTATAACAGCGGGGGAACACGGAGGGATATTCGCCGAATATTCAAGCGGCGCTAGGATCGCGTTAAATCAACAACAACCGCAATGGATACGTGGAGATCAAAGCAGCGGAGAAAGAGAGAAAGAGAGAATATTCCATGTATCCCGTTACGTCCCTCCCTCCCCGTAAAATAATATACAATCATCCGAATCCGCCTTGATTTTCACCCCATCCCCTCCCCTCCCCCAGGAAACGTCAGATGTATCAGATTTCGTATTTTTCGTATCGAATAACGGATCTCCTCTCCCCCTCCCTATTAGAGAGAGATTCTAATCCGAGCGGAAAGGCAAACGAAATCGAAATGGTCAGCGCTCACGTTTGCACGCGACCATCGCAAATAGGCGTTACACATTTATTTATTTTGTGATTCGTTTCGCGTTCGAAAGTTTATATACCCGATCTGTTGTATACGCGATTTATTCTTCGAGTATTATCGTTATTGCGACGGATCGAGCAAGGAAGGACAAACGAACGAAGGACTTCTTCTCATTACGGATTTAATGGGGAAATTTACATTTAGAGGGGATTTTCGAGGTATTGTCCGTTAATCCGGAAAATGAGATTCGTCGAGCATTGTAAACACGTACCGATGATGGATCGATGATATAGTATAGATTCGACGTAAGATATAGATCGAGGGGAAGGTTAATTAGAGCAGAATCGTTGAATCGATTACTTTTCTGTGTCGCTTCTTTTTTTTCTCTCAAATTTTAATCGGATAAAAACGAAATATCTTTTCCAGCTTCTGGCAGGCAACAATAATCCATATTCGGAGAAGGAGCAGCTCTTCGACCCGGCGATCGTCGCAACGAAGATCCGTTTCATCCCCTACACCTCCCACATGCGTATGGTGTGCATACGAGTCGAGCTTTACGGCTGTCCATGGACCGGTGAGTGATATTCGAGATCCCCCTCTTATAACGTGTCCAACCCCTAAATATTGAAAAGAACGCCGCTTCGAGCATTTTTATACACGCTGTCGATACTTTCTTTTTCATCGGATCGAAGGATGAGATGCGCACGAGACGACGTATTTCCCTGTCGAGGCTCTGTCAGCCTCGATTCTCAAAAATCTAACACCATTCGAACAACGTCGTTTCCGGCTTACCATAACTCCGTCCTCTTTCCGTCGAGACGATAAATCAGAGTCAAAATTCGAACCGAATTGAAATTAAATAGTTGAACCGAATCGCTCGAGTGATTTATTGTTCGAGGTATCGAATAAGTGCAGATAATAGAATAGTAATTACGAATAATTTTATTATTCCAGTTGTAACTTTATTCGAAATTTTAACTAATTAATTTTTCAGTTGACGAATAATTCGTTTGCCACGAAAAAAGGGGGTGTTATATTCGTGAAATTGCTTTAAACGACCAATGGCAATGGAATAACATGAGAAACTGAGGTGCATCAAGGTCTCGTGGGTACCCTTTATCCTATCAGTTTCTTATAAGCTTGAAAAGAATGCCGAAGGAGGCCGGGGAAGATTTACGAGCTCGATCGATCGATCGATCGGGTGTGTTGCGTTAATCTGAAGAGATTCTCACGGAAAGCTCGTCATCGAGAACTCCAATGTTCGTGATTATTACTATGAAACGATTCGTGTTGCAACTGAATCCCAATTTGAATTATGCGTCACATGTAGATTTGTATTTATGAAACTTCATTGCTATTTTTCTTTTTAGTAGATTCAATTCCAAATTGAAAATCTTATTGCTATCCTACGTTAAATACTCAGATGATGATTCGTTTGAGAATACATCCGAGTAATCCCATTATATTGATTTCTTTGTTGGAATTCTAATTCTAAAAGAGTTATCGAGAATTAAATTTCATCGCGTCGTCTATTAAGGTTTCTGACACTTCCTTTCTTTCTATTTTCTTCACTTTTTGATTCCCTCGTGTGCAGGGGAAAGTAATTGGTAAGCATCGCGTCGCTAATATCCCATTATCGATCTCCCTTTATCAACGGCGCTCGTGGTTGAATGATAGGGCAGCAGACGCGTAAAAAAGTGGTTCGAATTATCAAGCGAACGATATTTTCATTGGGGGCGTCGTTACCGGTGAAAAACAGCATCACCGTAAACGACTGCGCCGTATTCAATTTCGGTGGCAGCCGGTGGTGCAATTACTGTAACAAGAACAAAAATATTTTCCATATGCCTGGACGGTGATTGTGTAGTTGAAATTACTGCGATCGTGTCTCTCTCTCTCTCTCNCT